CTCTGTACCCTCATCCAGGTCGTTGAAATAACCAAACAAAAAACACCAAACCAGAACCAAAACAACAACTACAAAATTTCAGGTGTTGGTATTCTGGCTCATAAAATGTAACTGCTGTAGCATAAAATGGCTGGTAATGGTAACTGTTGTGAGCAGCTGATGCTCACAGTTGTCTGAAGATGCTGAAATGCAGTAAAACTAAACAAGACAAATATTTTAAAAAACAAGGTGCTATAGGGAAAATGGATCTCTATGCCTACACAGCTTTACTTACTTCTGCCCTGAAAATTAAATTTTCTGGACCTACTAAGTTAGTTGTGATTCAGCATAGCTCACTTAAACTGCAGGAGAAACCTAAGAACATCTGATTTGACATTTCCTATCTTTTTCTCTAAGGCATCAAGAAAAGGGGACTAGAGTGAGATAAAATAGTGCAAAGTAAAATTTAAGTTTGTTTACTGTCTTCATCATTCAGGCAACTCTTTCCAAAGGAATTTAAGATCTCTTAATGGAATTTCACACATATTAAGCAATCATTAAGTTCACAACATCCCTATGAGATTAGTATTAAAATATTATCCATTCTACATATATTTAAATTAAAAGTTGTGAATTGAAAGTAAAAAGCCTAAACATCTTAAGGAGGAACAAGTGACAGTGCCTACATGAAGAAACAATTTGTCTTCCCACCCTTTCCCAGTTAACAGTGTTCAGAAATCCTTAGTGCTTGCCAAGTCATGTACATTTGGTTTGGAAAAAAAACAAGGGCAGGAGTGATTCTTGTCTTCAGGGTACTCACTTCCTTCATAGCCATCAGCTCTCCAGTGTCAACACTGATACAGGTATAGACCTTCCCATACTGGCCTTCACCTGCAGAATTAAAATTAAATTCAGAAAAACTAATTGCACTACATTCAATAAGCAACATGCACATCAACTTCAATAAGCAAACATAACTGAAAACTCAGCTTGCCAAGATTATTTACCTCTATATTAATTTAAAATTTCAAGTAGCTTTTAACCTGTAACACCTAATACTACATTGATAGTCCTGAATTCAAGCTGATGAAAATAAAAAACATTACATTAATAGGCTGACCTGAAAGAAAGTTTCTCATAGATTTTCCCCACAAATCCCAAACCAAAGAGAAAATAATGATCATACAGGGAAAAAACAAGCAATATTGGGAGATTAAGCAAATTCCAAAGTCTGTGCTCATTTCCATTCATATTTCTGGTTCTTCCAAAAGCAGAACTCAAACATTCTATAGGGTTAAACACATGCAGGAATCAGAAGATCATACCAAGTAACTGTCCTAACCAAATCCTTTCCTCTTGTTTTTTGCTATTTGACCAGTGAAAACGTCACTCAATTTCCACATAAAGGAAATCCTAGCTGCATCTTTATATTTTAATATTCTGATTTCAATAAAGCTGATATTACCTGTGCAGAGAACCACGATTTCAAAAGATAGACTTATTTCCTTCAAAAATACCAAACCTGGTATTTTAGCCTGATAAATGAAGGTTTAATGAACGTACCAATTTTGTTTCCTCTCTGCCACTTGAAAGTCACTTTCCTCAAACCTACATGCATGACATTATCATAAGATTTCGGTGTGTCACAAACTTGGCCAATGATGTTCTTCCTCCTCATCTCTCTGTATCTCCTTTCTTCAAACAACTGAACAGACTTTTGAACAGCTTCAATCGGTGCTTGTTTGGAAGCAGTGTCTAAAAAGAGTGATGAACAATTTCCTTGATTGAGAAATATTTTCTCTGTTTACAGTCTGTTACCTTTTGCTATCACATGAAGTGACCTGAGTTATAAAGCAACTATTTTGCGAGTCTAACTTAAAATGTAGGAAAAGAATAAAACATTTTAACAACCACATATGAAACTATCCCTTACAGATTGCATACGAAACTAAAGTAAAATGAGACTACTGGTGCTTTTCTGATCATCTCTTCGTTGATTCAAGGAAATTAAATGTATGAAATGCAACACACTTGCCTGCATTGGGCCTGCAACTAACTACCAATAGGATAGTGGAAATATGTTAGGGCCACTAAGAGCACTAAGGAAAGAAGGACAGGTAGGTTTTACTCTACAGAGATATGAGAGTTTTCTTGGAGAACTCACAGCATCTGTTATTTCAAAGATTTAGAAGTATTAGACAGCTCCAGCATTCAAGTCTTATGATGACACAAATTCCTAGTGAGGGAGGACAGTAGAAATCTCAAGATGGCATTAATTTATTCCCTCCTTGTAAAGCAAAAAAAATTACACATCTGTCACTGCTGACAGGCAGTAGTCTGACCTGTTTCTAACAGCCTCCAAAAGGTGCAGATATTGATACTCCCAAATGACATATTCTACAGTATTTTACAGTGGACAGTGAAACCAGTTCCCATTGTGGCAGTCTTCTAGAAATTTTCAATTTTCCCTCATTCTTATCTTTTAGTTTAAACAAACTCAATTCATCCAGTGTTTATGTTCTGCACAAAAAAATAAGCCTTTTAGATTTCAGAAAAAAAAAAAAAAAATTGCTGCTTTTCCTGTGTTCTTAGCCAGAAATGAGAGACCAGTTTTTGCGTGACAGAATTTTTTCCTAATGTTGCACGTGGTTCCACCTTGCCGGAACATATGCAACCAAGTGACATGTATGCATCTGTACAGTATACAAGTCCCAGAAGTAAACACGATACTTTTAAGTTTCATGAAAATAATCAGCAGAACATAGAAGAAAGGGCCCCATAATGGCCTTGAATTTGGGAAACAGTGTAAAATCACATGCTGTTAATAATCCCAAAACAAGACAAAGTGCTTTCTATTGTCATGGAATTCATAATTGAGCACATAATAGGGACAGCAAACTTCTGCAATTCCTATACTAATGTAGTCATTTTGCAAAACACTGCCAGTAACTTTCAGAAACAGAAAAGATGAGATTTTATTAACTAAACTTTTATGAAGTTTAATTGCTCCTACCTCAGAGAGTACACCTTGTGATTTTGTTAGCAACATCTTCTGAGAGCAATCAGCATTTTATTTTTTCCCCCCTTCCTATGTAAAACGCTGTGAAAACCTTTTCACAACCAGCATTAAGATTCAGCCTTTTATTACAGCACTAGTTTAGTAGTCATGACGTGAGTGCCTCATGAACACCTACCTTTGGTCTGGTTGATTAAAGTTCTGAGCTCCCAACTCCGCCGGGATGAGCCACTTGAATCTCCTTTTGGATACAATGGTTCTAGAGAAATAATATCGTTAGCATAAAAGTGTCTTTATTTTGTATTAAGGATTGTGTCACTATATTCAGCAGAAGCTGAGATCTTACATCTCAGAATTAATACACCCAACAAGTATATGAGGTAACCATACAGCCGTGTATGTTCTTGAATTCAAGAATTACTTATATTTAAAGAACAAATCAGGATAGCTATTCTGAAATAGGATTCCATTTATACAGGAGCAGAGATCTGCTTTCACAATTTCATTCCACAAGAGGGAAGCACTTCAAGTCAGGGCACACAGAATCAAGTATGTAAGAAATTGGTAGGAAGACAATCTTCTAAGTTTCCTTAGAAAAAGATCTCCATTGATTCTAACCCAAGCCAGTTTCCCATTCATACAGATACAAAAAAAAAAAAAAAAAAAGAAAGGGAATAGGCACGAGGCAGAAAAGACTTTCAACACCTGCTTACAAGAACAAAACAGAAAGAATCCCCCACATCCCTTTGTATAAATTTTAAGGCATTTCTTTCTTTGAAATCCATTTTGCAGGATGAGCATAATATGAACTGAACTTTGCTTGGGATTTTGTACTTCATTTTGATTTGTACAGACCACACTATCTTAACAATCAATGTTTCAAGGTATTTTTTCAATAAATACCACACACAGAGGGTCTAGGGAAAGCTGAAGGGGCCTTGATCAGGACATCAAGTCACACACCCCGGCCCTCCTTCCAGGATTCAAAACAACAGCACGTATTTGTAGGACGAGTACTGCAGTGGTAGTTAAAGAACTGGAGAGAAAACTTATTAACTTAGAAATCTACTATCAAAGAGGGTATATAATTCAGCAATCATGTCACTCATTTCATTTTGAATACTGTAACTTAGTAAGACACCAGGAAATTCCTTCAGGTACAATTCAGAAACAATATGAAAGGCAAGAGAATGGTGGATATGTCTGAAAATAGAAGAAATTACTCTGGCAATTTAAGTGTAAAGGTTAAAAATCTAAGATTTTTGAATGGGAAAAGATGAAAGAAGTTTTGGAAAGTGTAGGAACTGGTAACAGAGAAATATGTTAATAACATAAATCATCTACACATCCAGGTCACAATCTGTTACTGTGACAATCACCTTCTCGTTCTTCAGTGGGACTGGAGTGACGACTAAGGGATCTGAACTGCAATTCAGCTGCTATTGAAGCCAGTCGATCATTTTCAGGGACACTGGAACCCCTGTTAAAAAAAGCCATTGTACTAATTAACTTAGCATTGCACTACATAACTACTAGTGAGAATTTAACTGCAGTTTTAAAGAGAAGGAACTTCTGAAGCCTAGGACATGAATCATGAGACTAACATGATGGAGAAACCAATGCTGAGAAGTAATCTGAGAACCCTTTCTATGCTATTTTTCCCCCAAATGAAGACTTTTTAGATAGTTTTTAGTTATGCCACTCTGTGACCAAACCATAAGCTTCAAAAGCATAAAGTACTTAAAACTGTCACTTGCCCACAACAACAGAATCCATCTTAATGACTTGTAATAGACTACTGAGACAGCTGCTGCAGGATGCAGCTGGTGCCAGGTTGGGATATACAATCAGAAGTGACTCAGCTGGGTGATAATGTGAGCCACATTATCAGATGAAAGGTGGTAACTGAATTCATAGGCTCCTAGGGTGCTGCAAATACAGTCACAGTCCACAGTCATTAAGTGAAAACTAGTGGGAAGAGCCACAAGCCAGCTGACAGGAAGGACAGCGTTAAATGCCAGCAGCTGGACTGCGTGGAGGGCCTAGCTGCTTCAGACAGCACAGAGGAGAATTAGATGCCTTAGAATAAGACCCAGATGAATAAGCATGCTGAACTGAAAGGGAAACAATACTGAGAGAAATGAGTTAAATCCTTAAATCTTCAGGCACCTTTCTCCAGCCCAAGACATTGATCAATCCACCCATGTTTGACAGCCAGCTATGCATCATGAAAGCCCCTCTACAGGAACTCCCTTTTGGGGATGGCTCCCTTTCAGTTTTTAAAGTATGGTGGGGAAGAGTTGTGACTGATGCCTCCTTTAACATAATGCTTTAGAGGCATAATCTAAACATCAGTGGAAAGTAGGGACCATTGTTAAATCCTTCACTGAAAGCTAATAAATACAAAAAAATGATGAAAGATACCTGGTATCACAAAGTGCACACACCTATGAAGGGACTTCCCTACAGCCCTAAAGTTGTTTCCAAATTGTATCCAATTAATAACCTAATAATAGTAAAAAAGAGGAAAAAAAAAATGACACAATCTTCACAATCTTGAGAACAGAAGCCAAACCCCAGGACACCCTATTCTCACATGAATGTTCTCAATAGGATGTTTGCTTTGCACTCCCTATTACTTTGAACTGGATCTTTTGAGGAGGAACTGAAACCGAGTAGTGAAAGTCCTCAGTACTCTTCAGGAAGCTGAGGTTTTAATCGGCAAGAAGGCTGAGGTTATTCTCAGCACCTACAGACCAACAGTTCTAGATGCACAAAGAACTTGCAAAACAAGCAAAGCTAAGCCACCTCTAAAAACAAGGCAGCAACTGAACAGAGGACCTGGAGTATCACAGCTTTGAATGCAGATGTCTAAAATCCATTTCAGGCCCATCTTGGCCACCCAGATATTTTCCTGCTTGTGCCCAGAAAGACTGTGTGTATGTAGGCAAAGAAACAGAATATAAGAGAACTCGCCAAATTTCTCCTCCAGTCCTGGATAAACACAAAGGGATGAATAATAACACCAGCTAGCTCACAAATTAAATATTTTAAAGGTCATAAGTATGAACATGGTGTAAATGTATAACCATCAGAAAGCTCAATGTAAACAACCAGGTATTGCCACTTTAGATTTTATTTTCCACTTATATTAAGCTTTTTTTTTTTTTTTTAAAAGAAAGCACTTCAATAGAATTATGGTGGCATTTGTGCACTACACACTGCCTAGTACAACTGACGTTACCAAGTTTCTACATTCCAGTTCCTACATTCAATGTTTTATAGATATTTAATGCCTACAATAATGTCATAAATATCTAGAGAGTTTCTGGAAAGTGTACAGAATTTCAGTTTCTTTACTACTCCAGCAGCTGGACCCTACACCTCCTGCATGCAAAACCACAAAGTGCTTTCTTGATCCAACAGACTCCATTTCTCTTTTCAGGCACAAATAAATGAAATCTGCAATTAAGACTGCAATCCGTTAATGTCTGCAACTTTCTTTTAATTATGTTGAAGCCAGAAATTTTCTATCAATACCCTTCATTGTAATATTCTGCTTCCCTCAATAAACAAAACCCCTAAAAATATCCAACAGCCTCCACAACTCTGTTTCTGCTTTAATACTTTTTTCCTTAAAATTCTGCCTATGTATACAGGCAGTTGAACGATGCTACTTAAAAATCCATGAGTGTCTAAAAACAATAAAATAAACATAAAATACAAATATTTTAAGAACCATCAGAAAAGTGCAAACTGCAAACTCTAAGAAAAATACACGTCTCTGAAAAATAGGCCTAGACAATTGGACTAAACTACTACACTCACATGAATTTTCATGTTACAATCCATGAAAGTATTATGCATTTGTTTGCAACTATGAAGTAGAATTCACATTTCTTTCCTTCCTTATGACCATCTTCTTGAATTAGAAGAAACTGTGAAAATGCCAACCTTCACACTTTGATAAATATTTGTGTAGGACACTCATGCAGAAAACATTAAAAGAATTTATCACTGTATTCAGATGTGCCAAATTATAGATGTGACAGTTACATTGAGTGATATAAAATCACAACAAAGCCTCCTCTTGAAAAATTAACTAACTTCAGAGATATGCCTCAGCTCAAAGTGCTGTACATATTCTAGACAAAAATCCCCTCTGTATGTTCTGTAAAGACTAATTATCAAATAAAATAATTCTGCATTTTCATAATCACACATAGTAATTGGCCATCACCCTGTCAGCTTCTAAAGCTGACAAAAGCTCTCAGGGAAAATTCTCTAGACTGTTACTTGCTTTTCAAATGCAGTGCTTCACACTACCACCTACTCTGTCTTTTTTAACAGGGAGCTTAAAGCAGAAGCATGAAGGATATACAATAAATACAAGTAGTTTGAATGACCAAAATTCAGGATATATTTTCAACTGAAAAAAGGCCCAGACTCAAAAGCTGTACAACTAGAAGCTACTGCAGGGTGAAAGACACATCTTATCATAAAAATAAAGTGGAAAAAACTTGCAGGAAAGATTTTATACCAGAAGTGGGAACTTAATTCCCTCTTAACACCACGTATTTCCCTCTTAGCACCTTAATACCTGCTTTTGCTGCGCATCTGGTAACAAATCTATAAATCATGATGGTTGCTGGCTAACAATTGAAATTTTTTTACTAAAACTTAAATATTTCATAATCAAGTCATATCTGAGTCACCATCAATCTGTTGTTCCTTCACTCCCTGTTTCTTTCCTCTACAGCTGTGTGATACAGTGATATCATGTGACACATACAAGAGAACTTTTGGTACTCTCTAGCAGAAATAAGAGTTCAAAAAGCTACTTACAACCCCTAAGATAATACCACTGTGTGAACAGTAGAATCTTCACAGTCAGGGATGCAGGGGGAAAATAAAATATATCAATATATCAAAATATCTTCTTTTCTTTTTTTTTTTTTTTTTTTTAAATAAGAGTAAATTTAGAGAACCTGGGAGACATGTCAATGGTCTTGCTGTAGTAAGGGAAGAAGGAACACCAGCACTCTGAAATATAACAATCAAATCAAAAAGCAAGAAAGCCACTAACACATCTGCCAAAAAAAATTCACTCGGGACCTCTGCAAACAGACAACACAGGAGTAGTTTCTGTTACATATCCTGATACAGATTTGTTTCTTTCACGTGAAGTTTACTCCGCACAACCCTAAGAAGCCAAAGGTGTAGCAAGAAATAAAAAAACCTCCTGAAATCTTATATATGGCAGACAGTAACAACAAAACTTAGCTAGCGTAAGAAAAACCCACCAAATATATATCTCTGTGCTTATCTGCATGTTACAGTCATCACAGTGCAAAGAGTTAGTTATCAACACTAAATATTTAGTAAAGTTATACCAATGAACTGACTGGCATATGCTAATTTCATGGACATATTTACTGAGCAAATTTGTAATCTACATCAGAACCATGTGCTTTAACTACCATATTGTTGAGACATTTTAAATCTGAGATCTATTTCTTGGCCATAAGATCTTGTTCAAGTCAAACACGAATGAAGGAGCCGGTGGAAAACAGGATGGGACGGAAATGCACAGTGCAAATGATCTGCTAGGATGCAAGGACATGGAAAGAGGTACATGGGTGATGTGAGTAGGATGAGGCTGCCACATCGTGGAGCGGAGCTACCTGGTATCATTTGCACTGCTGAGAGGTTTGGGCTGAGCTGAGTCGCTACCGACAGGAGCGGGGCGACTGACAGCAACGCTGCAATGGTTCCGTGCATCACAAGGGACACTCCGTGTGCTGTGGCAAGAAGAAAAACTTCAGCAAACAGTTTAAAAAAAAAATAAAAAAGTATGGTGTTGAAAGTTTATTTTTAAAATAAAATATTGAAGTGTGCATAACGAGGCCTGATTTTAAGTTTTTCAAGTACAGAAAGACTTTTATGTGGAACAATTCTGAGTCTTGGAGGCATCGGGGACTGTCAATATAATAATAATCATCATCATCATCATCTCAAAAAAAAAAAAAAATTAAAATCTTTAGAGTAGTACTAATTTTTGCCAACAGCTAAGAAATTAAAAAAAGAGTCAAGTGTAGAGTTTGACATTGTGCTGCTCTTCTTGAAAAATAAAGCCCTCTGTGTAAAAATACGCAAGACAAAGTTTATTTTGAAATTTTAAAAAAATATTTTTGCATTAATTCTCATGTCAAATCTAAATGATCCACTGCTTTAAGCTTCTTTACAAAGGTTGGTAATGATGCAGAAATGCCACCATATTCTGGAATGTTACATTTTTAAGTCTTATCTATGCTAACCTACAGAAAGCACTGTCACAGGCATGTACATAGCCATTCACAGTGGGGAAGGAAATACAAGTCTTGTTAATGAGCAGTTTTCACCGATTAAACATTACATTAAAACATTGTCTTGAGGCAAGACAAAGGGGATAAGTATGACTTCAAAATGAGAAAGCATGCACCAATAAAATTGTAAAAAGAAAAGGGGAGGGCAGACTGAAAAAGAAACTATAGTGTCCTCAAAAGCACAGAGATAAAATCTGGATCACTAACATGCAAATTTCTTTCTACCTGCTTCAAAAGAAAAGGTGTTCCACTTACTGACAGTCGGCACAGCCAAGAGAGGATAAACCAGTTTTGGACTCTGTACTAATGCTACATACCTGAACCCTTCAGGTGTGGGGATGATAAGATGTGGATTTGGTGGATCACTATGGCACCGAGGGACTTTTACAGGACGGGGACTGTTTCGATGAATAGCTGCAAACATAAAAAAAAAGCACATTTGCTCAGATGTCAAACAACTCTGTTAAGGCCATTTCAAGAAAAACAAATTAAACCAAATTCCTATTTTACAGAGTTAACCGTGAACTGACACATTGTCTTATCCTGTAAGAAAAAATCAAATTATTCCAATTTTAGATAAACCAACTGCATGTATTAATATCATTCATATTGTTGTATCACATAAATCACCTATAAACTGATGAAAGTTCTCCACAGAATTAAAGACAAGCAAACTGAAGATGTGTACTTACTTCGCTAAAACTACACCTTTGTTATTTCAGCTTCACAGATTAAAGACGACTCGCCATCTTATTGCAAAATAAATAGTAACAAACTAAATAATAATTAAAAAGCAGTGTTATTATGTTCCTTTTGCATCAGAATTAGTTTTCTCAGACAATAATAGAAAGTAAAATGAACTGGGCAAAAACAAACAGATGAGAGTTTTACCCATACTCATGCCCCCCATGACAGTCTGCCCCAAGTAAGTGGTACAAAGGGACAGGGTCAAACATAAATAATCCATCATTGTCCTCATGCCCAGCTCATTCAGTGCCTGTAAAAGCAGTCTGCATCTGCTTCCCCTTCCCTCAGCCCTCTTTAATTAGTTAGAACATTATTGGGGCAGTCTCACTGCAAGACAGCTAATGGCCCACTGAAACAAGTCAGTCCTTTCTGCCAGGCTAGGTCATCAAAGCAAGCCCAGCTTCTGCCTTCTTTGTACTATCAGGACAAGTAAAAGATGCCTGAGCCAGGTGCTGGTTGTGCTCCTATAATTTGCAAGGACATGAGCAGAAGACCAAACCAAATCCACTTGGGTGGACATAGGCTGTTTCACAAAGCAAAAAGACAGGATAAAATGCCAGGAGAACCCCAGCCACGTGCCTACAGGAAGCAGCATGAACAAAACTAGAGCCTCAGCTTTGAGAAAAGGGGTAAAGATCACGGTGGGTTTAAGTCCCTCAATATGGTATGCACACAGATCTAGGAATTTTTAATTTTCTCCCAATTATGAGATAGAAAGGGGTATCTGCAACACCTGCAGCCAGGATACAGTGTATGTCTAGTTCTACTTCACATGTATTGAAGTTTCAGCCTGATGTTCGAGCCTGCACCATCCGTGTCACCCCTTCCCACACCTCCGAGCCAAAAGCTGTCAGGCAATTTAGTTTGTGTGATCTGCTATCTGCAAAAGTATTTGTTTCAGTACTTCAGGATCAGCATGCTAGTGATTTACCTAAAATGGGTCCTTCTCTGAAGAGCAGTATCAAAAGTGAATGTAGAGGTTTTACATCACAGTACCGAACATGCCTAAAATTTATCCTAGACTGTGCATCTTTCCAAAGGTTTAGGACAATTTTTATTCTGAAAGGTTTTTCAGATATAAGTTTCTCATCAAAACGAAGTTGAATTGAAACTTCCCTGAAACACTGAAAAACCTCCATTTGCCTGAGTCAGATTACCTTTCTTTCATGCCTTCTGCCCTGTCCAGGGAGTGGACATGAGGAGAAAAAAAAGACGACAAGACGACAACGTGGCATTTGGAAAGTTAAACCAGTCAATGGACTTGGGAGGAAGAAGAGGCAAACACTACTGAGAGATATGTTAAAGGGAAACACAGCGGAAGAAATATCCTTTTCTCAATATAAACCAGGAAATATGTTGATCTCACTGTAATGCCAAAGATATTTTTTATACCATGACAAGTTCTGTGTTATCAGAGAACTACTTCCCACAGCTTTGATCAATCCCCCTGGTGTAACTGTTCTGTACCTTAATAGTTATATAAATTCCTTCAAAAGCATAAGTACCTGCAATACAAGAATGAAATTTTGGGAAAGGGAGCTGTAACTGTCTCATTAAAGTTATAAACATTTTATTACCCAACTTTAAAAAAAACAGTAAATCACAATCCTTTTCCAGAAGATCTGCAAGACTTCACAGGGATTCAAGGACAAAAATCAGAGGAATGCATCTGTAAAGCTTTTAAATTTCTTGAGTATTTACACTTTGCCAGGCAATAATGGTTTCACATCAACAATCATTAAAAACTTAAAAATACTATTATTGGTATTTCCAGTATTTTAAAACTACTTTACGATAAAAAATCTGTAACAATAGCAGCAAAGCTCCAGAACAAATGCCAGTAACTTCTGCCTTACCAAGGTACAAACCTGTAACAGGACTGTGAGGTTTTCCAATAACATGGCCAATGCACTCATTCATCAGAGCTTGTAAACTCTAGAAATAACAAACAGAAAAAGTTGTGATGCTTTATGTTACATGATAGTCATATGGTAAAATGATCTTGTTGTAAGTGTGTAATCTGTTAAGGAAGCACACGAATTTTATCAATTATATTAAACTTCTGGATCCACATTAGAGTTTTGACTTAATTGTTTTGGTTTTGTTTTTTTTTTTTAACTAGAAGTCTTAGTCTTATCTTGCCTTTTGACCTTATCAAAATTATGTAACCATAACAACTGAACAATGATCTATCATGAAGAACATTTCATAATACCAAGCTAGTGGAACTTAAAAATACCTACTGTTAGTAAAATTAATCAACCTTGCTGGAAAAAGGTGCAACAACCTCCTCTGCCCCACCCCAAGAAGAAACACTCAAAGAACATGGCTGAGAGCATGACAGCCTGAATAACAAGATTAGTCTGTAAAATAAAAAATATTAAGCACTTCATATTAAAAGAAATCCACTTATCTACTCATGAAATTAGTAAAAATTTCATGCAAGAGTGTTTAATAGTTAAACCACTAAACTAGGGCCCAGGCAATCCGAAACTAATTACTGGGTGTAATATTCACTTTGTAGTAACCTTGGACAAGTTATTACATCTTCCTCTGGTTCAATTTAATTGTCAGAACATCAGGGATAAAATACGTCTTCACAATAAAGAACTGAAATTATGTTCTTAGGTTTAGTTGCTATGAAGGCCACTTCTATATACCAGTAATTCAGACTACTCAAAATTTCTTCCAGAAATTCAGAAACTTAATGAAGTTGAAAGGAACTTGAAACTGGGTTAACCAAAAAACATTTAGAAAAAAAAAAATTTACTCTGTGATTGGCGTGTCATATCAACCCAGATCAACCTAGAGTCTCAGCTTCAGATCTAGACTGGCCTTCTATGACATCAGGTATTATTTAAATAAGAGATCAACATCCACATTTCTAGGTGAAATGCTGTGACTTCTGTTATACAGGAGTCAGATTAAACAAAGGGGCTTCAGGTAATGCTCTCCAAAACTGAAATCCGTTTTACGAAAGCAAAAGTTCAGAAACGTAGTTAACATTTAGGTTTCCTCCCTTTCTCTCCCACTTGTTAGAAGCCTGACTTCATCTTAAACTACATGGGCTCTGAATTCTCTTCTCTGTACACATGAAACCTGTGTCTTAACATTGTGTTTGAAGAAGTGCCATGATATCTTAGATAACTATCAGTCAACAGAAACAAGCTAATACATGATTGCTTTTATCTCCTCTTCAAGGTCACAACAAGGTTATCAATTCTGGTTTTGGACAAAATTACCAGTTTATAATGTCAAAGGCCACATTCAATTTTCTGAACTTCTTTCCTCCCTGGAAGCTTCCCTTTAATTACTGAATGGATATTTAGCAAGACAATATCACTAAAATATGTAAGTATTACTCTTCAAAACACCAAGTATTTTAGAAACTGTGTCAATGCAAATAAAGTTATGGAGCTACTTCCTAAGTTAATATATTAGTGTATTTCAAATATAAGCTTAACTCGGTCATCTAGGTAGACAACCATTTCCTAACAACGCACACGTGGGACTAAAACAACTTACTTGAGAACTCTTGATAAAATGTATGTGAAAACAAACAAACAAACAAGCAAAACAATAAACATGTGTAACACAGAAACTATAATGTGGTTGGGATTTCATAACACATCTTGAAATCAATAAAAAAAATCAGAGGTGCCAACACTCACATTCTGCTTTTTTGTGGCAAATATGTTTTCACTTCTCTACCAAGATCAGAAAAGTAAGTTCTCAGAATTTTATTTCCACAAGAAAACGAGGAAGGCAGAAAACACAAAAAGAAGCCTGGTTTAGTCTACAATTTCTTACACAGCCAAAAAAAAAAAAAAAGAAAGACGCTTTAAAGTCTGTTCCACATTGGCACAATTTGAAGAAATTAAAGAATTTATTTAAAGAAATTGTGATTTTGTATTCATACCCATTAAATGAACTCTGGGTACTAACTAAGCCTCTGAAGCTTACATTCAGAAATTTATTATGACAACTATAAATTGTAACTTTGCAGAAAAGATGCTGTCCAATTTCTGCAAGAGACAAAGGTAGACAGGCCTCCCAAGACAGTACCAGCAACTTGTCAGCAACTTTGAAAGCATTAATGCCAGTGGTCACAAGTGTACTCTATTCAGGATCTTATCAACTGAAGAGATGTCAGCATCATCAGTTATACACAACTGCAATTGTTTCAGAACAATATCAGACACAACTGTATAAAAAATATCTGTGATAATATATAATGATAGCTTCACATGTATTTAGAAATCAAAAAGCAGAGCAACTTATTCCATACCAAGAAATCATCTTCTGGGAGAGCTGAAATAAATGCTGGTTCAATGGCTTGGAGAAAATCAAAACCTTGAGTTGCCCACCTGTCTCAAAGACAAAGGAAACACAGAAAATTAATTGCTCTCCAGCCACAGCTATCATAAGGGTTTCAACAACATCCAAGAACAGAAAATGGCAGTTACTTAATTTTCCTCTGGAAAATATGACAAACTCTTTATAAGAAAATGGATGAAGTAATACGTTTAGCTTGTATGAATATCTGTCCACTTGCAATTGTACAAAGTCTGATTTTAGCAAGAACCATTCCAAATACAGTGAGCAAGCCACGCTATATATCTCAACTCTTGTAAGTGCTATCTTCAGGAACAGTACCAAGAATTCACTCATAATATGTTACGCCAAACCACTATGCCCCCTAAACTGTGCTTTCAGAAACAAGACTGAAAGAGTACCAATGATTTCATAACTACATGATCAGCAAAAACTAGGCAACAATAAAAACACAAGTAAGTAACTTTGCTTGAGGGAATTATATCTTCAGCCACCTGCTCCCGCCACTGCCTCCTTTTAGGCCCACTAGAATTAACAGCTGCAACCTACAAAATGCAAGTAGAATCACAGGATATCTTGCGTTGGAAGGGACCCATGAGGATCATCCAAGTCCAACTCCTGACTCCACAAAGGGCAACCTGAAAGTTAAACCGTATATCTAAGAGTGTTGTCCAAATGCTTCTTGAACAGCAACAGGCCTGGGACCATAACCACTTCCCTGGGGAGCTTTGTGCCTGGCCACCCTCTCAGTGAAGAACTTTTTCCTAATATCCAACCTGAACTTGCCCTAATGCAGCTTTAAGCTATTTCCTCATGTCCTACCACCAGGCACCAGAGAGATGAAATCTGCATCTGCCTCTCCACTCCTCTTCATGAGTTAAGTGTAGACAGCAATGAAGTCACCCCTCAGTCTCCTCTTCTCTAAGCTGGGTACACCTAGTATTCTCCATCACTTCTCATATGTCTTGCCTTCTAGTCCTTTCACCATCTTCATAAGACCCCGATAAGCATAATGTACTATTTTTATATTGTTCTTGTACTGTGGAGCTCAGAGTGCACACAGTTCTCGAGGTGAAGCTGCATCAGTGCTAACTATGGTAGGACAACCACTTCTTTCAGCTGGCTAGCTATACCATGCCTAATGAACTCCAGGATATGGTTGGCCCTTTTCACCACCATGGCACATTGTTGTCTCACACAGAGTTTACCACCAACCAGAACCCCACGGTCCCTTTCTGCAGGCCTGCACTTCAATCTCTTGGCCCCTGAGCTATACATGTACAGAGTATTATACCATCACAGATGCAAAACCTGGTATTTGTCTGTGTTAAATTTCATAGGTTGGTGATTGCCCAGCACTCCTAATCTATCAAGGTCTCTCTGTAAGGCCTACCTACCCTTGAGGGAATGTACAGCTTCTGCTAATTTGCTATTGTTGTCAAATTTAGTATGTACTCAACTCCCGTGCCCAAATAATTGATAAAAACACTGAAGAGAACTGCACCTAAAACTCAGCCCTGGAGAACATCCTAGTGAATAGCCACCAGCTATATGTTACCCCCTTTATTCCAACTCTTTGAGCCCAACTCTTCTGCCAATTCTTTACCCATCATAATGTGCCCATGTCTATCTATATGCTGGAAAATTGGAGCAGAAGGATACTGTGATAACACCAAAAGCTCTGTTAAAATAATATTTTTTAAAAACTCCGAAACAAAATACCCAACCACATCCACTGCCTTCTCTTCACCCATTAGGTGGGTAACCCTGTCATAAAAGGATATGTAGTTAGTAAGGCATGGGCTGCCCTCCATGAACCCATGCTGACTTTGACCAAAGAGTACATTGTCTCTGAAGTGTTCTTCAGTAACTACCAGAATATTATTCTCTATTATTTTACCAGGAGCTGAAGTGTGACTGACAGGCCTATAATGACCAGGGTGCTCCTTATTGCCCTTCTTGAAAACTGGAATAACATTTGCTAGCCTCCAGTCCAGGGGAACCTCTCCAGATACCAAAGAACTTTAACAAATAACTGAGAGAGGTCTTTCAGTAACTTCAGCCAGCTTCTTCAGTTTCTTGGACTGAATTCTATCAGGTCCCATAGATTTGCATTCGTACCATTGCAGCAGCAAGACCTGTACAAGCTGAAAGTCAGTTAGGACTAGGGGAGCTTATCACACCTTTAGTCATGGTCCTGCAACCCAGGGCTCCAGGGTTTCCAGGGCCCACCATCTGTGTTAGAGACAGAGGCACAGAAGGTACTACTCAGCTTTGCTCACCTCACAAATAAGGAGGGAGATAATCTCATCAAGTAATGGACCAATGTCATCTTAGAATCACTCTGGATGGAAGAGACCTTTAAGAGCAAGTCAAACCATTAACCCAGCACGGCCAGGTCAACACTAAACCATGTCTCCAGGTGCACATTTACCCATCCTTTAAATACCTCTAGGGATGGTGACTCCACCACCTCCATGGGCAGCTGGTTCCACTGCTTTACAATGCTTTCTGTGAAGAAATTTTTCCTAATATCTAATCTAAACCTCCCCTGGCACAACTTGAGGCCACTTCCTCTTGTCCTACCATCTGTAACTTGGGAGAACAGACCAATGCTCACCTCCCTACAACCTCTTTCAGGTAGTTGTACAGAGTGCTAAGGTCTCCCCCTGAGCCTCCTTTTCTCCAGGCTCCCCTTCCAGTTCCCTCAGCTGCTCCTTATAAGACACGTACTCTAGGCCCTTCACGAGCTTCACTGCCCTTCTTTGGGCATGCTCCAGCAACTTAGTGTCTTTTGTGGACTTCAAGGGCCCAGAACTAAACACAATACTTGAGGTGTGGCCTTACCAGCGCCAAGCCCAGGGGGACAATCACTTCCTTAGTCCTGCTGGCCACACTATTTCTGATACAGGCCAGGATGCTGTTGGCCACCTTGGCCACCTGGCCACACTCATCTTTAACCAGCTGTCCATCAGTACCTCCAGGTTCTTTTCTGCTGAGCAGCTTTTCAGCCACTCTTCCCCAAGCCTGTAGTGTTGCCTGGGGTTGTGACCCAAGCATAGCACCTGGCACCTGGCCTCACCGGATCTCACATAATGTGCCTCAGACCATTGAAACAGCCTGTCCAGATCCCTCTGTAGAGCCTCCCTACCTTCAAGCAGATGAAAACACCCACCTAACTTGGTGTCGCCTGCAAATTTACTGAGGGTGCCCCTGATTCTCTCATCCAGATCATTGATAAAGATATTAAAGAGAGCAGGCCTTAACACCAACACCAGTTGTGGCTGGTCGCCAGCTGGATTTAACCCCTTTCACCAAAACTCTTTGGGTCTGGCCATCCAGCCAGTGTTTTACCCAGTGAAGCGTATGCCCACCCAAGCCATGAGCTGCCATTTTCTCCAGAAGAATCCTGTGGGAAACAGCGTCAAAAGCTTTACTAAAGTCCAGACAAAAAACATCCACAGTCTCTCCCTCATCCACTGAGCATGTCACCTTGTCAGAGAAGATGATCAGATTAGTCAAGCAGGACCTGCCTTTCATAAACCCATGCTGACTGGGCCTGACCATCTAGTTGTCCTGTACCTGCCACACGGTGGCACTGGAAGATGAACTGCTCCCTGGCACTGAGGTCAGACTGACAGGTCTGTAGTTCCCTGGATTTTCCTTCCAGCCCTTCCTGTAGTTGGGCATCATATCTTCTAACCTCCAGTCAACTGGAACCTCCCCGGTTAGCCAGGACTGCTGATAAAAGATGGAAAGTGGCTTGGTGAGTACATCTACCAGGTCCCTCAGTATCCTTGGGTGGATCCTGTCCAGCCCCATAGACTTGTGTGTGTCTAAGTCATGCAATAGGTCACCGACCATTTCCTCTTGGATTACTGGGGCTTCATCCTGCATCCTGTCCCTGTCTTCTTCCAGCTCAGGAGGACAACTGGTCTTACTGTTAAAGACTGAGGCAAAGAAAGCATTTGGTACCTCGGCCTTTTCCTCATCCTTGGTCACTGCATTTCTCCCTGCATCCAACAGAGGATGGAGATTCTCCTTAGACCTCCTTTTGCTGTTAATGTATTTAAAGAAACATTTGTAATTGGTTTTTATGGCAATAGCCAGATTAAGTTCTAGATGGGCTTTGGCCTTTCTAATTTTCTCCCTGCACAGCCTTACAGAATCTTTATGGTCTTCCTGGGTGGCCTGCCCCTTCTTCCACAGGCCACAGACTTTCCTTTTCTTCCTGAGTTCCAGCCAAAGCTCTCTGCTCAGCCAGGCCAGTCTTCCCTGCCAGTCTGTCTTACAGCACACTGGGACGGCCTGCTCCTGTGCCTTAAAGTTTCCCCTACTAAGGAATGTCCAGCCTTCCTGGACTCCTCTGCCCTGCAAGACTGCCTCCCAAGGGACTCTGTCAACCAGTCTCCTAAACAGGTCCCAAGGTGGCAGTTCTACTGACCATCCCTCATTACTTCCCCAGTAACTGAAAACTATCGTTTCATGATCACTATGTCCAAGACATCCTCCAGCCTTCACATCACCACAAGTCCTTCCCTGTTTGTGGTCCAGCAGAGAGCCTTCCATAGCTAGCTCTCTCACCAGCTGTGTCTAAAGCCCTCCTTTTGCTGCTAACATACTTTAAAAAGCCTAAGTTGTTTTGTGGGCTTTTTGTTTCCTTTTGTTTGGGGTTTTTGTTATGTCTCTTAAGATCAGCATATCAAGCTAATTAGCCGATCTACACGTGGTTCAACCTACCCACTCATTCCTCCTCTTCTTCCAGCAAGCAGAACAAACCACCTCCAGGACAAACTTATCAGCCCTACACTTTAAAGAAACAAAACTGTCACTGATGTGTAATCTGCTAACACAGATCAATCTAAGGCACCTACTTTAACACAAAAATATCTATTAAATTTCTGATATAAAATATCTTCTGCTAAGCAATTGGGAGCATTCATTTGCTTTATACATTTGTTATTCAAATCACTTTCGAACTTTAAGAACCGTAAGTATCAACAGTTCAGAAGAATTACTTCTAAACAAATATTACTATGGCAGTAACAAGTTGGCTGTTACCTGGGTCGAGTGCCTCTGCCACTCTCACATTTCGTTAGCACATAATTCATCCATTTTCTGGCAAAGCTGATATACTTGTCTCCAATTTTCTGTCTGAATTCTCCAGACATTAGACGAACAACTTCTTTATGGTACTGCAAAAAAAATTAAGATTACTTTTCCTGTATTAATAATAAGAACAAAAAGACCATTTGCATTATCCACTGGAGTATCTGCAGGCTACCACACTCTAAACTATGATTAACAATCGCATCCTATTTTCAGACAAAATTATTTTACACAACCAGTTGTCTATTTATATAGAAAAAAAATTATGAAAAAGTATATGATACAGGTTTTGAGTTCCAGGTATTGCTAACTGAAGTCTGACTTTAATAGATCTATTTGTTCTTTTTCAATCACTTTCACATAAGATTTTTGCTTAATGTTATAATTTAATATATATAACATATGTATAGTTTAATATAATAACATGTTAATAATAACATGGTTTTTTTACACTGTTCTGCTAGAATTCGTCATATTTCCACAGAGTTATAGTTACCTTATTTGCACCAACAAAAAAACAGACATCTCAATTGGTTCTTACCGAAACTACCAGACAAATGTGTCATTAAGGCTTTTTTTCCTTACCTCAAACCCAAAATTATAACCTTGAATCATAGCTTCCCGGTAGTACTGCTGCAAAGTGGCAGATTCAGATTCATCAACTTCAGCGTCAAACTCGGATGTGAACATGTGATCAACTCTATCAATGGCACTGCTTATCTTATTGCATAGCTGTAATGCATCATTCTGAATAACAACAACAAAAAGGGATGGGGTGGCATGCAATTATTATTTCTATTCTACAGTTGGCAAGACTAAGGTGAACATGAATCTAACGGTTACATTACTTTAAAAGGAAAGGTACTTCAATGCCATCACAATTCATTCAGTCTTGGAAGAACAAACACTTCCCAACAGTTGCACTAAGCAAGTCTTATAATTTTGAGTGAGTGAGATTCATTTTATAAACAAAGACAATGGCAGGGTGAAAGGACATACAACCACCCCCCCCGCCCAAAAAAACCAACAAAACACACACACAAAAAAAACCCCACAAACAACACAACAACAAACAAACAAACAAAACCAGACAGACAAGAAAGATAAAATTAGTTTTACTGTCTATAGCACCCCAAGCCTTTTTTTTTTTTGTATTTTCACCCTGGTATATGGACACGCTTCTTCTGAACTCAGAGGGAAATGCAGGGACCCGACACTGCAACTTCAGCCTAGCAACTCTTTGCTTTTCTGTGTCCTCCAAAAAAACCCAAGAACAACCACAACAAAAACTCACTAGAGAAAACGCAGCAAAAAAAACATCATGCCAAAAAAGCCCTACACCAAAACAGAAAAAAACAGAGACCTACCCCAAAATCACAAAGCAGCCATCTTCTCCAAATATGAGAAAAAAACTGTTTCTTGTAAATCATGGATTTTGATAGAAATTGTTTTTTATGAAGGCAAACACTTCAGTAGTGTTCAATGGTGCTCTCATATGGTGTACTTATTCTGTTGCTATTTATATTTCTATTGCATTATGAACTTGTTTCCCACTTTCTCAGCGCAAAACTAATTAAACTAATAATGCTCAAAAGACACTCACAAATCCTTGCAAAATCAGAATGAAAACCATACTGAAAGTAAGCTTTATAGAGGTTGCATAAATTACAATTGCAGAATATGTCATCAGCACTGCGATCAAGTCTCCTTACAAATTTTTACTTATCAGTGAGCGAAGGACAATCAATTTTGACTGAGATAATCTCAAAAACTGCTTACCTTTAGCTGTTGTAAGGCTTTGGCAATAACTGGCTGGCTGGACGTCTGTTCCTGGTGCAGAGATATGAGCCCTTCAATAGACTGCTGGAAGGCTTTTCTCTGACTCACAAGGTGGGCAGATTGAATGACGACGAGGAGGAGGTTATCGACCTAGGAATACAAGATACCACTAGTTCTTATGAACAAAATCCTCTCCATGAAAACATGTCCCATATCAGAAATTTCCAAATGGTTACTTTTTAAATTCTAAAACACAAAAGACCTCTCTTGTTGCTATTCATATCTTTAAATCAGCCAGAAAAGCTTGATGCTGGCAACTGAACTTGATGAACTCTCATCTTACGAGCAGAGTTCTATTAGGGCAAATGCCACAAGTTTTCCAGGGGAATACACTCTTATTTGCTTCTCAAAAGTTTTGGGAAACACTATATTAAAATTATTTTCAGCATAGTTATACACAGAAAGGCAGCATCCTAGCAAAACTATTTTATTTTCTCAAAGCAGATGGAGGTAACAACTATAACACAAATAAGCAGCTTTTATCTATGTAATGTAATACACTTCAGGACAAAAAAACTACTGTTTAACAGGGAAAGAAAAAAAAAGAGATGGATTTACTACACAGTATTTGCTCAGATTTTGAAAATTATTTAAATTTAAGAATGTGTCTTGGAAACCAGAGCTCTGATATTGGAGAAGTCTATAAAAGTACAGTCACAGATGGTGTTGCCTTTGCTGTGCCACTATAAGTCACCTACTAAGCTCTGTTGATTTCAAACTACAGACAGTGCATCTGTAACAAGTTACTCACAAAACAAGACCTATTTAATCCAGATTTCAGTATCTCATCCCCAAAGAATATTTTCATGCTCAAAGTTCTTTGCATGTTTATGAGATTCTTCTGTTTTATGAACATTTTCTTAAATAATACTTCACAATTTCTCTGGTATGCAATTAAAACATGTTTTTGAAAAAAGCAGGACACAACCTTTCTGAGGGAGTTTTTACTTCCTAACCTTTCAATCATGATTTTTTAAAAAATTAATAACCAGTGTTATACACATACAACCAAAACCACACAGTGTTTTATGTGCACTTTACGCATGTCAGACAGAATACCATTTGCAAACCAAATTCCATCTCTTGCTGTTTTAATTTTCTGAATGAAATGCTGACTTTGATAGAAGTCAAATAAAATTCTAAGCACTTAATCAAAAGCTATTTTTTTATCGTTCAGTCTGGACAAGAGAAAGAAGTAACGTGCTTGCACATTAAAAACAGCAGATGTGCAGGACTGACTTTTTCAACTGCCTGTAACTGCTGGAGCCCTATGAATGCTAGAGGCCAGGCACAGTGACATGGAAAGTTAAATCTGTTCATGGACAGTAGAGCCCATTTATGGTAGGGATCCGAGGAACTGCATAACATATCAAAAGGAAAAATTCATTTAGCCTAACATAAGGATATGAGAAGAGGAGGGGCAGGAAGCTGCAGCTGGCCCCGTTGCTAGAGCACAGAACTACTGCTGGCAGGGAACCCCTACTGGCTTGAGATGAAGGAAAGTTTGACTGGAAAGATTTCTTCCTGAAGAACTGCTGAACATCCAGTAGCTTCCACAGAACTTTAAATGTCACAATTCATCCAAGACCCAAAGTAACTGTTTTCATGTCTCAGTGTGTGAAGCGCACACAACCACAACGTGCTGTTGGAGACTGGTCACTTCTTAATAAAATGCAGTTTTCAAGACCTAGCCACACTTCTGATACTCAACACCCAGCTACGTATTGAAAGTATCTTTAGAATAAAAATCCAACCCCAAAAATTTACACTGTATGGATTAATCCTTCTAATAAATGGTCAAATCCACTGAATTTAATACTTGCATTAACACAACTAAGAATTTAACATTTTAGTACCTATAGAATGTCTCATGCCTCACGCATCACTTAAATTACTGTGGTTGAAAGGATAAGCATTCACAGAAGAGACCACATAAAGAGGGGGAAAAATAACCCAAAACCCACCTGCATGGTTCGCAGTGTATCAACAGTTTCAACTTGTGGCACTACTTTGACTGGCTGACCCTCCCATGCACTCCAGCTGTCACCTGCTTCATGGTCTTTATCACTGTGTTTGGTCATTAGTAAATAGGCCTCATACGCAAACTCATCTGAATCCTTTGAGCAATCCTTTCCAGCAGCTGCATTGAGGAGCTGTAGAATCACAGATTTTTCACCTGCAATACTATTTGGTACAAATACTTGTAAATTGTCAAGTCCAGAGATTTGTACCTGTAGAAATAAATAAAAATATACTGAACGAGCGAATCTCACTGTCTTCTATGATACATAAAACAGACAAAATTGATACATGTCATCTCATTTAAGCAAGTGAGAGCTTCCAACTTAAGCAGCTGTACCATATGCACACAATAAAATAATACTTTCATCCATTTTTGCACTAAAAGTCAAAATGCAATGTAAGAAATTATTTGTCTTCAAATCTGCTAGATCAATTTTCAGTGACATCTTTCCTTGTACATTCAGTTGATCCATCTACATATTCTTCTAAAGGTGTCTTGTTACAAAAAAAAGTCTGATTTCACATATATGTATGTATAAAATACATATACACATATTTTAACAAGCAAATCAGTCAGTCAAGACTCATTTAAGACTTCTGAAGCACACATTCTAAAGATGAAAATGATAAAATAGTTTCTTTGAGCATCTGAATAAAAAGGCTTTTAAAAATCGAAACTCCCTGCAGGATGTTAAGAGGGCAAACATAGGAAGTGTTAATCACTAAAAGGTGTGTCATTCTGAGGGGTGAAAAAAAGGGGTGAGGTAATACATAAAGAAGCATAAATCTTGAGATGCAAATAATCTATTTGGATTATTTAACCCATGTGCTTACATAGATTTTTCAAACTCAAGAGTTCTATTTTTCTTCAAAATGTGCATAAGAACAGTAACACTATCTTTAACTAAAAGGTCTACCAAATTTAATATTGTCTTAAAGCAGCCAAGAGTGGATGCCTGGAGAAAAAGAAAATATTTAAAAGTAAACAAATAATTATTTCCTTGACTACTGTCCCACTCCTAAAGTATTCACAGACCAGGGTCCTGTTGAGCCAAATGCTTCATCCCTGTACTTAACAACACTTTCTGAACTTTATATAATTTCTACTTTCAGCAATCATTAATATGCATCTAACAATTCTGTCACACAAAATTTAGTAGATTATTTCTTAATTGGCAATTATATATATAGTAAACATACAGAAGGAAAAAAAATAACAGCAGATCCAAATAAATGTAATCTATTGAAGCATCTGTAATCTGATTTACTTGAATTCAAACTACAATAAAGACTTGTTGACTGAGGAATTTTTAAGTTATAAAGTGCAAAACCATCAATGTGGGTATTTATAGCACAGTAAATATTGAGCACCAAGAGTTTAACCTACTTTTGCTGTACAGCAGTTATTCTGGAACAAAACACAGTCCCTGCATTCTGACATCCTTAGTACTCTCAAGAAAGCTTGCTAAAGCAGACCTCCACTACAATATTTTTGCTTTATAAAAGCATACAAAACACAGGTCCATAGTCTAAGATGATCTACTTAAACATGTCCATTTACTCATGTGTATTTTTACCTCATAAAGTTTAAAGGATTTATTTTTCATAATACTCCCTACTGAGTGTTATTACTCCCCTCTCACAAATTACTAAGTAATGTTGAAACAAAATGGCTTTTCCCATGTCACAAAGAGAATTTCTGGGAAGATAAGGAACTGGACATCGATTTCCCAAAACACAGAGTAGCATTCCCTCTCACACAACACAGGTACAGAAAATAATCTGACACAATTTAATATTAAACACATGACATTTTAAATATTGAGATACAGATACCACATTGAAAGTACGTCAATAAACATCCTTTGACATTTTGCTTAGCATCCCCACTCTACTTTCATGCCTCTAAACTGATTTTACCTTCACATACTCTTTTGTTTTCAGAACATTCAGAAGATCTCGCACAGGGGCTGACAATGCAAATTCTGCTGCTATTTCAAGGTCCTACAAGTAGTGACAAAACAAAAGGACATGCTTTCAGACTAAATTTCTTTAAAGCATGTAACTGAGGTAAGACTCTAATGTTAACTTACCTTCCTTAGCATTTTAGCAAAACCAAGAGCTTTGGAGGCCCTTTCTCTAGCTTCATGAAACAGTTCTTTGAGTGCTCGGCTGGTCTCTATAACAGACCTCCTAGAACATAAGCAAGAACAAAGTGACAATGTTTTAATAAATCATATTGCATTTTTATAGCTATTAGAAAATAAGAATTATTTACATATATGTCAATAGAAAGAGCACAGAAAAGAAATATTTTACAAGCAACCGACTGAAATATATTTAACTTGTGCATGTATGTTTTTGATAAGGGTATAAAAATTTAAATTAAAGAACGTTATATAAACAATCTCTCATAGCCTGAACCAAAAAGGTAACTAGGCTTCAAACAAAATGGTGGTTCATTACTACTGCATACAGAAATATCAGCAATAAAGTCTATGGAGTCTTGCATTTACAAAGTTTTCATTCTAAGAAATAAAATGCAGTATGTTCCTGTTAGGGGTATAGAAATATGAGTGTGTTTATTATTATTAAGCTGAAGGACTTAATACCTGATTTCATCTGACGCAGTACTGTCATCGGCACTGGCCCAAAATTCATCACAACTCTCTTGTAGTCCAGAATCTAAAAATATTCCTGTAGATTTCAGCAACATTCCTGCAATATCACTGTAGTAACAGAAATGGTGGAATTTCAGAGCTTGCTAAGTCGCCCTGTAGAAACAGGCAGCATCTTGGGGGCTCTGCTCCTCCATGTGCACAGGGCCAGCAGGCATGGGGACTTCCCACAGATGTGTTATCCCTGTTCCAGCCAGAGTAAGAGCAATCTGCACCTAGTGCATCCGGTATCTACAGGCACTGTAATAACTGATACATTCCCAAAGACTACCAACTGCTTACTAAGGCCTCAGGAAGACCAGTTTGGGAACTCTAAACAAGTGCTGACTTGAGTATGTATCTGGTACACGTTAACACCACAAGCAGAGTAATTAAATACAAGTTACCAGAATAGTTTTCCAGCTTGAGCTTCACCTCCTCTTATATAAGGAGTTATTTCTTTGGTAAAATTCCATTCTTCCTCCAACAGATTTTTTAAACTATGGGATGCCTGAGGTAACTGCTGCAGCATTTGGATCCAGCTTCGCATATAATCAAAGTAAACCTGTACATGGAAAGAGGTAATTTAAGCAGGAAATATTACACAACATGCACTAAGCACTATAACTTCTCAAATCAACAAAAACCCTACAGTATTAGACAATTTGTAGAAAATATTTCCACAACATTTTTCATTTGCTGTTACTGACAATGAGCTAAGTGTTTCCACACAAAAGGTTCAATTTACACCTCAGGAAGCAGAAAGTTGTACTGAGGTATTAAAAACTATGTCTCCACAATACTTCTCTGAAAACACTGACAGTAACACCACATTGTTTCCTGTGCTGCTATTCATCATTGTATCAGTGAACACCCCAAAATGGCCAGTTTTCAACGCTGAATTACTGAAAAACAATCTCTAGATCTTTTATTAACTGCATTACCCAGAAAGATTTTTGCTGAATATTTTCTCCTGGATATGGATAAATTCAGTGAACAGGCTTCTCAGATTCTGCATTATATCTTGTGTTCTTCTATATCAAATCTTATCTTTACTTAAATTATTATTCCTTTAAACCAACATAAAAATCCAGGTATGTACAATTCTTCTGCAAACATGTGCCCTTCTGTATCCTACCCAACCAAAAATTTGCTTTAGTTCAATAATCCATAACATCAAGCAACATCCCTCCATAGAAATGGTTGAGATACTTCCTGTTGGTTTCAAGTATTTTCAGAGCACACTGTAATAATGGCAAGATCACAGAATTATAGAATGGTTTGGGTTGGAAGGGATCATCTAGTTCCGACAGCCCTGCCACGGGCAGAGACACCTTGCACCACATCAGGCTGCACAAAGCCCTGTCCAATCTGGCCTTGAAACACTCCCCAGGAGCGGCATCAACAGCATCTCTGAGCAACCTATTCCAGTGTCTCACCACCCTCCCAGCAAAGACCTTCTTTCTCATACCTAATCTAAATTTACCCTCTTTCAGTTTGAAACCATTAATCCTTGTCCTATCACTACACCCCCGATAAAGAGTCCCCTCCTCATCTTTCCTGTAGGCCCCCTTTAAGTACTGGCAGGCTGCTATGTCTCCCCAGAGCCTTCTCTTCTCTAGACTCAACAACCCCAACTGTCCCAGCCTGTCTCCATAGGGGAGGTGCCTCAGCCCCCGATCATCTTCACAGCCCTCCTCTGGACCCACTGGAGCAGGTCCATGTCCTTCTTACAATGGGGGTACCAAAGCTGAACACAATATTCTGGGGGGCTTTCACAAGAGTGGAGTAGATATGGAAAACCTTAAAATTCTACTGCAGGTTATGTACTTACTGTGTTTTGATAGCCTCAGGCTGTAGCCCCATTCTTGACTCTTACAGAATTTGCCTATCACTCTCAGCCTAATTCTTCCTCCAGTACTCTTCTTACCTACCTTGCTTGCCTATACAAGGACTCCACAGGAAAAAAAGTTTCACCCCTCATTAACTCTCTCGTAACCTTCTGTTTTCATAAAAGTTTTCTCTATCCCTACTTTCAGTCCAGATCATCTCTTGAGGTCTTTTCGCTTCCCTCTCCCAATTTTCAGACAACCTTTCTCCCCTGTCTCTGGCCTTACAGTAACCTACAACTCTGACAAGGCAGAAACTTTGATTCTTTAAAGTCTGATATATTCTTTTTTATTTACACAGTCTTGGTACCATCCCTTTTCAAGGCCTACCAAAACCTCAAATCCTTATACAATTAGAATTGCTGCCAAAGTTCAAGCTCTTGCCTCAAAACACAAAAACATGACAGCTACCAAAAAAAACCCAACAGGTAAGGAATTTCAAAATTGACAAGATGAGCCTTTTCCTTTTATCTAGCCAGCCCATTTCTGATGGATGTTTCTAGACATTTCAGATGGAGATGAAGACAGGCACACACCTTAAGAAACATTATGTAAAACAGTCTGTTTTCATCACTGTAAGCAATGAAAAGCATGTAGGAGAAAAATCCATGCATACTCAGCAAAAGATAGTACAAACAGTGACTAAGTATTGAGGTGTATCTTGTTTTTTTCCCTCCCCTAGAATAGTGAGGACAAAGATAATACAATTCACAAAAGAACCAAAATCAATCACATCCAAGGGAACAGTAATTTAAACTAAATTTACTAAACAATATTTCATTTAGCATCTTTCAGAGGCCAAGTGTTCATCTTGAAAATACTTCTTTGTGTTTAACTTATTGCAATAATGGATACATATTAAAAATAAGGTGTCATTAATGGATGAATACCAAGTTATAAAGACATGTCAGTCAAATAATTGTATTTATTTTTTTATTCAACACTAAAAGGTCATAGAAAATTTAGTTTAAATGTATGGGATATACAGTTCTATATATGAAGCATGCTATTATACATACAGGCAATTTACAAATATACTGTACCACTGTTCAGTAAACAAAAATCAGTACTGTTAAAATCACTGCTAAAATGGCAATGGCTACTGTGTACAAGTTCATTCAAACAAATAAATTATGTTAAAGTAGCACAACAACAAAAATTAGCAGGTTCTATACCCAACGGAGACAACATATTTTTATTAGCAGCATTCAGAATAATACACTTACTAGAACTCCAAATATTTTCTTCTTTTTGAAGCTTACCATTAACATTTTATGCAGGTCCTCTTCAAACGAATCAATGTTGCAATCCATCTTCTGTAAGTCATCTAACACCTCTCGTAACATAAACTGGTAATATTGCTTCATTAACAGACCACCCTTCAGAACCTCTTTACACTCTCTCACTAGCTGCAAGACAAAAACCCAAAACCTGCCATCAGTTAAGACATTACTCTTTAACGCTCCCTGGGAAGTGAAAACTTGTAAGCCCAGTTTGTCTAAATATGCTAGTTTATCACTACATAATTCTACAGTTTTTAGAAAAGAAAACAGTAGCTCTACATGCCTGCAGGAAAAATGTGACTAGTTTTGCAGGATTATTTAATTGCCATAATGCGATTTGACAGATAATTGTAAAAGGAGACAGAGGCAGATGTTTCAGACTTCATTTCCTGCACAGGGCCACAGCAGGCAACTTACTGGATAGTTCAAATTTTAGAAGTGGGCAACAGGGCTCACATTTATCAAATCATCAGATTAAATGGAAGTCAGAAATAATATGGGAGTGTTTGACAGATGCTTAGAGACCTACGAGAAATGTTCTACTACAGGAGATTCATTGTCAATCTATTGGGCAGCTATCCACAACTCAACATGATCTACAGAGTGCTGATCATCAGATATGGTTTTCTCCATCCAAACACATCCATTAGCTGGGCTCCTTCTTTAATCATTAAAATGTGTTCAAATACTACCTAGCAGTCAAATACTACTACTAGGTGTGTAGGTAACAGAAGTGATAATTAAGAAATCGGAACCTGCTTCAATATAAAATATGCTGTTCTGCTTCTAGTTATAGACTTAAATGAGTGTCAATGAAGAAATTACTCATTTGTAAATTGTTTCTCTATTACAGTATCCTATAATCTGGAACTAAAAATCTCCTAGCAGAAATGACCTAATTTCTCCACTCTTTTTTGTAAGGACTCAGCTTTTATGACAGTATCTACTATCTCTTTGAAGATACAAACTGATATGAAAGATCCAGAGAGATCCAATAGTTATTTTGCAAAAGATTGTGGTGCTGTAAGATACTCAACACAGGTTGTAACAAAGTGTGTCTAATTTAACCATGTAACAGAAATAACCCATGTGCACATGCACACGCTCCTCCTCTACTTCTCAACACAAATGCACAACTTGAGAACCATCCTGAACTGTTGGTTACTACTGTCCACCAGCTACACTGCCACCACGTAATGGCCAATTGCCATTAAAAGAGAACAGCTCTCTCCAGTAAAGTAGGATCATCAGGACTACATTTGCCGAAAGAGAAAAATGGACAAGGTGGTTCAAAAAGGGAAAGCCAGTGAGAAAGGATGGGAGAAAAGCCACATTGTAGGAAGCACATGATCTGTGTTGATTTTCTTTTTGTGTATATAATTTTCCTTGCAAACTTTTTTTATATATATACACAAACATATATATAAAATTGATTTGCTATGCTATTAATCCAAAAGTTTAACCTTACCAGGGAAACACTGAGTATCAGGAATAGCATACCTGATACATTCAAACAGTACTGCTACACATTTCAAATGGTACGAAAAAGTAGGAGACACTTAAAGGTCTCAGTGCCCCAAATGAAAGCCATTAGGTCAATCACCATGGAAATCAACCTGTGCTGTGCTACATGCATTCGAAGAACAGTTCAAGGGATTGGTTTTGTTCAATCTAGATAAGACAATATGCAAATGTCTAATCACAGTTTTCTAATGCTTAGAGGGTAGTTACAGAGAAAATGGGGGCACTCCTTTCACAAGGATGCGCAGCAGCTGAACAAGAGGCAACAGGAACAAGTAGCTTCAGTGAAATTCTCTATGATACAAGAAAAAAAAATGCTTTCTTGGGAGGAAAAAAAAAACCCAACCAATGTTGGAACAGACTGGCTGAATAAGTAGCAGAATCTCTCTCTCACTGGCAGTATTCATGATCTGGCCTAACAAGGCCCTAGATAACCTAATGCAGGGCCCAGCTTTCACCAGAGACATTTGGATGAGAGCATTTCCAGCCTAGACTTCTCTGTAATTCTGTAATATTCTGTGAACTTGCAGAACAAAATAGACCCCTAGACTCTCTTTTGAGCTTGGCCAAGACTTTAGGAATTGTAATTCTTAAGGAAACAAATAGATCTATTTGTGAAATGTCCTCCACAGAACCTCTGCCTGTTTGTAAATATTGTGTGGGACAGCAAGCATTTGCTGAGTTGAATTCATTTTTTCAGTGTAAGTAGCAAGACAGTATACACCATCAAAATTGTCTGTAACAAACACAGTTTTCCAGGAACTAAGTTACATAACTCAAAGTGAACAAGAATAATCAAAAACCAGCCTCAGTCTCAGGGCAGGGGGGGACAATGACCCTGACCATAAAGTAACTTAGCAATTCATTTTGGAGCAGCAAGTAACTGGCATGTGAAATCACAAACAAGAGCTTATTTAACTGGTTATGTATAAAGACCTCTAGATGACCCCCTGATCCGGTTATTCTTGCCAGGGAGCAGGGAAATGACTTCATACAATTTTAGTAAGTCCTGGAATAGACTCTGAAAAATGGCATTCATTGTATCAGATAAACATCAGACAAGAAATCCTCACACAACATTCTGAGTCAGTGACAGAACTGATAATCTTGGGTGACTACCCACAGAAAATATCACACATTTATAAAATATGTTCGGCAAGATTTTTTTTTTTTCCTTAATTTTTATTTAATCAACTCCCACCACGTGTCCAATGCATGCTAGCAGAGGTCTCACATTTGTAAAGAAAAAAGGACTAAATCAAAGAAGAAAGAAATACAGAGATCCTTAAAAGGGGTTATACTGCCTAAGACACCTAAATGGAGGAAGATGTGCTGGACAAGGATATTCAGCTTATAATGCAAAAGGAACAAATATTGTTTACCTTCACTGGCTGATAAATCTTTTATCACCAGTTTTGATTCCTGGAAGTCTAAATCAGAGAAGTATATATGACCAATCTCCATATGAAATACAAGACTATTTTAAAAAGTTATTACATAATTATACCCTGTAATTTCTTAAACTAATCCTCTCTAATTTGACAATGGTATCATAACAAAACAAAGTAATTTCAAATAGGAAATATTAAAAAAAAAAAAAAAAAAGGTCCAAAAAAGCCACAGTTAAACCAAACCTGTTTAATACTCAAAAGAGATGGTTCCCCAGCAGGTCTTTGTTCCAACCTTAGCTTGAGACATTCATGGATAACATTGAGTAGGACTCGGCACAGGACCAAGAATGCAGGTTCAAAAGATGGTAAGTCCATAGATTTCAGCTCCTCCCATGATACAGTGCTGCATTTTTGCTCACAAGGTGGGGAATTTAATAACTGCACATAATCTGAACACAACATGGGATCTGGAAAATCTGAAAACTGGAACAAGAAATAGGTATCAAGGAAAGGATCCTTAAATTCTTTAGGATTTAGCATTTCTTTTAAGTAAAACGTACAAAAGTATTTTTAAAAGGCAAGATTCTATTAACAGTCATATCAAGCACAAAAGTTTCAATTCATCTTTTTTTTTTTAAGCTAACTTTGAATTTTTTTTTATCTGAGGATCGTCAAGCTGAGGAATGCAATTATGGACCCTTGGGAGTGAACAAAACAACAGCTTACTTCATGTTTCTGTTTTACAATTATTAAAGCATCCATTAAAGCTGGAGATCACCTCACTACATACAAAGAAACTGCTGTTTCAGGTTATGATGAACGTACAAGTCTAACATAATATACAGGGACATATATTCAGGTCATTATAACATGCAATACTTAATTTTTTAATATATTTTGAAATTCTCAAGTAAAAAGGTCTTACACTAATAACTACAGAGAAGCAAGCTTGCACTTGTCTGTCAGGTGAGTAGCCTTGTTCCTTTTCAGTTACATAGTGCGTATGTTACATAAAACTCCACATTGTAAAGTAATGCAATATTCAGGACAATGTCACTAGCTAAACTGAATAAAACTATTTGAAACATAACTTATGAACTTTGGTAGGTGTTAAGAAACTGACACTAAAAAATAGTGGATGAAATGTAGAGATCAAGCTGCTCCTTTTAATTAATGAACTTATTTTTTGTTTAAATGAAAATTACATTTAAATGAAATGACATTTCTTATTAGAGAAAATAACTGAAACTATATGAAAACTACATCCTAGATATCTCAACCATATACCTTGTGATAACATTCTATGCAAAGCTGTACATGGAAACACTCTGGGGTTTAACTTAGAAAGAAAATTTGGACTGCAGCTCTTAAAAATAACAATATCTTTAGATGATGTACAGTGTAAGATTTGTTTCAAATTAAGCTTGTTTTATTCTAATCCTCATGCCACAGCTGATAACTATAATATCTGAATATCCTTGATTCATATATTAGACATAACAAGCATTTATTTAGGGTTTTCTTCAGTGCCAAATTTAAATAACATCACTTCAAAGACGGGGAAAAAATTACCAGAATCATAGAATCATAGGGGTTGGAAGGGACCTCGAAAGATCATCTAGTCCAACCCCCCTGCCAGAGCAGGACCACCTAGAGTACATCACACAGGGAGGCATCCAGGCGGGGTTTGAATGACTCCAGTGAAGGAGTCATTCAAAAAATTACATCCCATGGTGATGTAGAATGCTGTCTAAAATGCTGAAAAAAATTTAAGGCGCTTTTAAGTTTATTGTTTAGCAGAAAATTACATAAATAACAATAAATTGCTTATTCCTTCACACTTACACATTTTTTTTTCATTTGTGCCTACAGTCCAATAGAATATCTGCTTCCTCAGACAAGCCACACAAAATTACCACTACTGACAATGTCAGTTTTCTCAGTGTTTTTATTTTTTAATACTGTTGTTTCTCAAGTGTCTTGGAGGGTGGAACAGCATATTCACTTCTGTCTAATGTTGGCACAAATCATACCATGCACTGTAGATTCTTAAGTGGTTTATAAAACCACTAGCTCATTATGCAGAGATAAATATGCAGTAAGTAGGGCTTTCCTTTACACCTAGTTTAGCTGAAGTTTAATCACTAGCTAATCTAGAGTATAAGACTTTATCTCCTTAGATGATATATTAATGTTGTCACTTTACTAGCTCACTTTTAAAAGAAATGCATAGCACCAAACAGCACCACCGCTAAAGGATTTCATACAAGAAATTCTCATTAACAACAGACCATGAAAATACTACACTTTCTACAGTACAACAAAATACTTAAGATACAACCCTCATTGTGATGCTAGTGTTGGAAAACAGTTCTTATAAAAATGTTAAAGAAATAGTCTATGAGCAAAAATAACACAATGAAATTGAATGTGTGTGATTTTCTAACAGTAAAGCTAACAGCACATGACATTACAGCTTAATATTAGACAACTATACTTCTGTTATTCAACTTAATCTTCAGCAGGCCAATCTGAAATGTTTCAAGTGACTACCAACTACTTCTTAAAAAAGAAGAAAACAAAGTCCAAGCTATTTATTTAAATCACACATAAAACCCATACTCAGTTGAATAAAGAAAAAGCAGGGTATGCAGGCTTAAATACCATTCTACTAAAATAACATCTCTGATTTTGTAAACTAAAATATTAGCCATTTTCCTTTAAGAATCAAATCATACAACTTCTGCACAAAACAGATTCTATAGTGCCTAGAGTCTTGGTAAAGCATCAGAGCCTGTGATGACTGAAGTGTATTTAAAAAACACATTAAAAACAGCTGTCAGCATAAACATTTACATACATTTATGATGAAACAAGCATTAAAACAGATACAGTGGAAAAATCCAGAAAGCACATTTCAGATGAAATATGGTGTTTCAGTAACACTAGAAATGGAAGTATGGCCAGAGATTCCAAAGTGTATGTAACACATATGAACACAGAGTCAAGACACAAAAATAGCAGAAGTAGCAAAGATTAACAAAACACTAACAGCTGCTGTGGGCAAACATGGTGTAAACACTAACTGTGCAGCTCTGCCTGCATACAACTATCAAACTGAACTGCACTTAAATACATTCAAATATTGTCAGATGCAAAGACCAAGGAATACAAAACCACCTCTTGTTTTAGTCTGTTATCAGGTTTTGCTGCGGTAGGTAGCACACTTCTAACAAACTAATTTCTTATTTTGACAGTATTACTTTAATGCGGGGACAGGAAAGAGGTTTACAATTTTATAGCATTCACCTTTAGTTATAAACTTATTTCTTAAAAGAGGACAATATTACAAAGAAAATGTAATAATTACTGAAAATGAACATTCAAAGAAGTTGCAATTGTAGAGAAAGAGGGAGAAAAAATTAACCATGCATCTTATACAAGTCCTCCAATGCTAAATTTCAAAAAAGATAACTCTGTGAAGCTGCAGCAAAGACTCTAGCTACTAGTGTTTCATAAACTTGTTTTAAGAACCCTTCTGAAGTCAAAACATTTGAAGTATTAAGCAATTTCAAAACACAGAAAGTAGGTTTCAATACACCAAAATTATGTTTTATTTCCTTTAGTTTCTTAAAGGAATTTCTACACCTACGTATATTAATCTGAATTTTTTGGCTAAGAATATATGGTTTGAGGGTACTTTTGGTTACTGTAATAGATACCTGCAAGTTTTGCTTATGGTATGTGACTCTAAAAACAAAGATTTTCTTTAAACTTCCTAAAACATAATTTGAAACCAATGAGAAAACAAGTAAGAATTCAAATAGCAGCTTCATTTTTTACTGTAATATCCACATTAGCAACAGTACAAATAAAAACTTTTTTTGAATCAAATAACTTTATCAATGTAAATTTATTTATTCTAAAAAAAAAAAAAATTACCTCCAGGGAAGATAAACAGCTCTTATTCCTTTTGCAAATGTGACATCAACCCTAAGAGATCAGCAAGAAGTCAAAGACCACATGTGGCACCCATATTAGGGCAGGCATGTTGGCTAAGGAATTCTTTTGTCCAGAATCCATGGTTTCTCCAGAATCCCACACTCAGTGCCACTTTATTGAGGAGGACAAGTAATCCCTACTATTGGTTCTTCCTAACATAAAAATGCCTACAAGTTAGGTAACAGTTTGCATTAAGAAATAATATTCTGCCTTGAAAGAGTTAGTGATCCTAACTCACCACAGTACATTTCAGCCATTGTCTTTCATGAACTGCTTATTTCATGATTTTTTAATAATTTTTTTTTTAAATGAACTCACAATCATTCTCAATTCAGAAGATAAGAAGTCAACCCAAAAATGAACTAAGAACCATCCAAAGGATGCAACAAGGTAACATGACTTGCTTTCATAGATTTCAAGGTTCAGAGCATCCATTTATCATTTATTTGGCCTCAAGCATAACATGCCACCACAGTACTTAATTTTAGATGAGGAAAATCCCAAACCAATAACGACATTTTCATTAAGGATGTCTTGCAGAGAGATATTCAGTCTTGATGATAAGAAAAAGAAAGCCACCACTTCCACTGCTAATTTTTCTCATGATTCCACTTTTGTGCCTAATTTTCCGTTGTCATCTTTCCAACTTACGGCTTTAGACATCAGAAAATAAAATGAACAAAGATGTTACCATAAAAAATGTCATTTGAATTACAATCAAGAACAAAGAACTAGCTTGTGCTTCACACAGATTCTAATTTAGGTCAGATGACAGATTCACTTTGGTTGAAGCAGAACTGGGCTTTTAATCATAATACACACTATCTTTCAAAAGCCAACACATCAACCAAAATTTTCGTAGGATCCCAGTTCCTCCTGTTTCAGTTTGAAACAATACAGCAGAGGAGGCACTCCTGTTATCCATTTACACTAGTAGCAACCTACCTCCAGCTGGTGATCGCTCCTTACCAACGCCATACGAGCCCTTTGCAATGAGCCATGCATTAGCTTGTGCAGTCTTAAAATTAGCTTCCTCAACCCCATTTGCTTCAGTGCTTTATCTACAAATGGCCTGTAAATGGACGTCAAACAGTGCTGGCTGTAGCTTGCCTCTGCACTGCATTCTGGAATAACCCAAGAAGCAGAGTCATCCTCAGATTCAAGCCTATCAAGCCTTCTTGAAAAATGGTCCTGAAAGTCAAAATTTGGCTTAGTAGAAAAATTGTTCTTGATGGCTTGTCTAAGCTCCTCAACATTCTCCTCAGAGATTTGTTCTTCACCATCGCTCTCCTCTGTGCATGTTCCTGAGGATTCTTTTACTTCTGTTTCCCTATCGACTTCTTCATCCTCTGGATCATTATATTTAGGTGGTCGAGGAGAAGGAATTTCAAACACTGGCCAGCCAATGTCGGAAAGATTTTTGATGCCCAATACAGTTCCCATAATCCTTAGCTTTTGATTTAAGTCTTTTGTAATATTTAACCATAGACAGAGTGCCTGCACTCTGTCCTGGAAGTCTTTTGCAGCATACTTTTCATAGTCCTTTTGAAGAGCCTGTAGGGATGGATAAAGTGCTTCTATGTACTCTAGCAGCTCCATTATCCGCTTTACTTGCTCAAATGAGACCCGCTGGCGATGGAGGTGTTCATGGTAACTTGAGTAACCCAAAGCACTAGTTCCATGTGTTGCTCTGCAAACTCCTTCTCCTGAAGTACCATTGAGACTGGCTCCATTTTTTACACAGGAGACGCTTCCGTAGTTCACTTTGAAGGTGAGGATTTCATTGATGATATCAGGGATAGCTTGACGGGCTGCATAGAGATAGAGGTCTTGGTCATTAATGCTCCGGCCAGCATGCCAAGCTTGCAGTTCCAGCCAGATCAGTTCATTGGATCGGTTCAGCCAGACAGAAGAGGTGTTTTCCTGTCCTCTTTGCTCCCTGTCCTTTTTCTTTGAGACTGAGGTAAGTTTTAACAAAAGCCGCAGGGTTTCAAAGAATTTTAAGCGGTCTGCTGGGCAATCGGTCCTAGAAGTCTGGCGTGCAGCTCTGGGTATTGGCATGGGCACAGAGACTGGAAGCTTAGCATTGCTACAGCCAAGGCTGAGGTAAGGCTTATTGAGATCAACATCTGGAATTTTTTTTGGCAGAGACCCACCAACCGAGTCTAACATAAAAGAGCACTGCACATTTTTCTTGTGGTCTCGTTCTGTTGTCCTTAGGGTGTCTCGGATCTTCTTTCCTTGCTTATAGCTGTGCTCCTCCACATTCTCAATGGTTTTCCCATTGTCTTTATGCACATTAGACTGAGTTGGCACACTCATTTTTTCTGTAAGGTAAGAAGAAAAGAATGTGACTACAGCAACAAGAAAAAGCATCGTTCAATCTTCTCACTGTTCACTGTCAACCTAAGGATTATCTGCTGCACATGGCTCAATCCCCACTCTAGAAACAGGAACTTCCTCAGAATCTTTACTACTGTGCTTCTTGTTGTAGCAGTCATTAATACTAGAAATACTAAATAAGCTTATTTGCTAAACAGGTCTGCTCAGTGGAAGAATAATATTATTCCCTTTCTATATATGGAAAATCACGACAGAGAAAGATCTGTCAAGCCAGCATACTTCTGGGTGCCAAAAAGAAGAGCTATCATTCAGCATTTCAGAACACTGAGCACTTTGTGTTCAATGCTCCCTGGCCTCAGCTGCACCTGTAATTCTCGGCAACTTGCAAACCACATTCCAGAATCTCTACCTTGCTTCTGGGAAACCAAGAAACAAGACAGAATTTCATTTGTCATATTTGCCTTGCACCACAGATTTTCACAACAATATGCTGATATCATACAATCCACTTCACTGACTTAATTACCAGAGGGCCTTTCGTTCTTGTTTCTTTCACTACATCTCTTCCAGCACCTGCAACTAATGACGGTCCAGTCATACAGAAATCTTACTGCACTTAACATTTCTCCCAAAGCACACTACATTAGCCTGTACTCCTGTTTCATGGCACGCTAGGCCATTATCAAGTAAGCATATTAGCATATCCCACAGCAGTTCTCTCGAAAAGAACCTGTGTATCAAATGTATGCCCAGAAAGGCACTGCACTAAGGCTGCAGGCATCTGAAAGGAAGTGGAGACATACGTGGTCAAAGCAACTTCCTTCGCATGTTTCCATTACAAATCCTCTTTCAGCTATTAATGATCAATAAGTGATTTAAGAGTGTGACCTGCCACACTGCCTCTTTCCAATCCCTGTATTGAAACAATACAAGTTAACCCCTGCCATAGCTGTATAGACTGGGGCAGATTCCCCGAGGAGCAGGAAGACGCATTCTGCCCTAGCAGGAAAGAAGGAAGGTGAAGGAAGCTGGCAGAGATGAAACCCGTGCACACACCACCCCCCACAGATGTGGATCAACTTTTAACAGCACTTTGTGATGTTAACGATTTTGGTGACCTTGCAACATAAATTACAACCCTGGCACATTTAAAGATAATTTTCTCAGCTTGCACTCTAGCTAGCAAGAGGTCCTCTAAACCCCTTCAGTTTGTATTTTTAACATGTTGTTCTCCTTCAGATTCTCCACTCCACCAAAACACACTGAAAAGTAACTTAAAAATATAATTAACTATTAGCCATCCAAAATATCCTAATACTTGCATATTCATCATTCTTCACCAAGACCAAGCATGATAATCTACAAATTGTTTCGAAAATCATCTCATTTTATCAAATAAACAGGCACCAATGATTCAGATCTACCTGACAATTCTGCATAAGTGAGCATTAGTGCTATAGCTTATGATTTCCTTCTGCTGATTTTACTGTAGCTTTGTAATAGAGCTTAAATTAATTAGGTAGTAAGCAATTCTGAGTTACACTTGGTGCTACATGGGGCAGGTACGTTTCACAACTAAGCAACGACTGGTTGGTGAGAGGGGGCACACAGTAGAGTCCAAGATCTTAAAACAGCTCGTTAAAAAATAAAAAAAGTACTTGAGGAACTTGATGGGGTTAAGAAAACTAGGTGGATAGAGATTCCCCCTCATGTATGAAATTGTAGACATTTCATGCTAAAAAACAGAGAGGGGCATTGTTTTTTACATAGTTCAGGAAGCTAACACTTTATTAAGGAAGCAAGCATCACCGGACTGACATTCCATACTCTTTGAGTCAGAAAAAGCACCCAAGAGACAGATTATGTCTTAGGAGAAACTCTAAAATGCATTTAGCTTAGAAATGTCAATCCCATGGGTCGTTAGGCTACAGGAGAAACAATTCAGTAACTAGTTTAAATAGATTATTGTGTCAGTTTATTTGATAATACTAAATGCAAGTGATAAGAAACTTGGTGTGACTGAAATTAAACAAAAAACAATGGAGATGCAAGTAAGCAAGCTCCTACTGCCCAAAATTCTTCCAACTGCCTAAATAAATATACATGAAACCTGTTTTATATGTAAATATCTGAAAAGTTATTTCAAAATTACTTTTTAAACTGTTTAGTTACATCAAACTAATCCCTGAATGAATTCTCTCACTGAAGTAAAACCAATTAATCCTCAGTAACAGCATATGCATAGACATTCAAGGTCTATCAAGAAGTCCAACTTGAAGTTGTTGGGTTTGGGGTGGGTTTCTCCCCACCAGCCCTGCCCTTGCAATACAGAATACATTTCCAAGACTGTGCTTATAGGCAAAGTTAAACCAAATCAACTAAGAATTCTCCAGAAGAGATATTTTACACAACAGAACACTATCCAATTCATAAAAAAAAAAAAAAAAAAAATTAAAGGCACACTCATGGCAACCAAGAAAAGGTTATTATTATTCTAGAGGCAAGAACCATTCCTCTTCACAGGTACAGAGACCTTGCTCCAAAACCTCAAAATCTATTAACATGGATAAAGAACAGCTCCCAGTTTCCCATAAAGGTATCAATCCCCAATACTGTGCTCAGGACCAAAGGGTTACTATAAAATATTATGCATTATAGCTCTTCAGTATTACAATTTCTCTGTTTAGAAAGTAAACTTTTGTTTTTAAAGCACAGAGTGAAACAAGAAAATCATAGAAAGCAAGGAAAATTATTAGACAACTACCACATACAGAACTAAATAAGATTAATGCTGCGTTGAAAGAGTTTTAATTTTACCAAAGGGAACAATTAAAAGCCAGTAAAAGAAGCTTAATTCCAATGCCTGCAGAGCTAACTGACAAGTGTAACAAGATTTCTCCCCAATTTAGTTTAAGGAAGAGATCTTTCGGTGAATGCTGTCTTCAGTGATGTTATTTCCAGACTGTATAAAAGGGAAACAAAAGTTTTGGAAACATTTGTACAGGCCTTTGCTTTATTATGAACTTGCACTCCACAACTCAATGCAGCTGAACAACACACTGTGTTCCCTTATTCAGACTAAACCATCTACCTTCTTCTTCCC